GGAGCTAAAAGCCCCAAGGAAAATCACAAATGGGTATAGTAAATATTTCTAGAGATATGGAATAACAAAATAAAACTTATACTTACAACTTGAGATTCACGAGCTTTAGGAAACATTTTGGCAACATTGAGACCATCGATGACAATATCAAAAGGAGGACAAGATTTTACAAAGTTCTTAAACCTCTTAAGTTCCTAAAAAAGAGAAGTCAGATAAAACATTAAGAACTTAATAAGGACTTTATTATAAACACATTGCAATGACTTTTATTATTGTTTTGATAATTCATCCCTTAAACACACACACACACACACACACACACACACACACGCACACACACACTCTCAGAATGAAATCTGCAAAAGCCAGCATAATGGATATAATTGCATACAATGATCTGATACACTTTACAATCTCATAGCACCTTACGCTTCACAAAGTATTTTCATATATAATTTCATTTGATCTGTAGCCAGCCTATCTACACTGCTAAATTGATGCACATGATAGTCATGAAGAGAATGAAATGTCAAAATCTCTAAGTCCTGTTCAGTAAGCCAAGGAGAAGTAAGCCTCAGATATATCAGCCTACCAGTCTGGTTCTCAATCTCAGGATGCTTGCTCTTGCAACCCAGTCATCCTGCAAAAGCCCACGTAGAGGTCACATATAAGTGTTCCACTTGACAGCCCAGCTGAGTCCCAGCCAACAGCCAGCATCAACTACTAGACTGATGAGAGGGAGGGAGATTTCAAGATGACCATAGCCCTCATTTGATTCTAATAGGAGACTAAGCAAGAACCACCCAACTGAGTCTAGTTAACCCCTAGAACCATGAGAGATAACAACAATAATAACAGTAATACATATTTGTTTTTGTTTTATACCACTACATTTGGGAAAATAAGGGAAAGAAAAGAAGGGAACTGTACCAGGTAAAATTTGCCTATATATGGGTTTTTGTCAGAGGGTACCACCCTTCAGTCAACATGGCCAGCAGGAGCAGCTGGAAATCAAACAGAAATCTGCAGACTTACTGGTCTGAGGAATCAGAAGGCAGAGTCTGGGGCTGCCAGAGGATGGAAAGTGAGAGGGGGAATCCTAGAAAGGAATATACCACAAAATTTGCATACAAATCTGCCCAAATCCTTGGCTAACACTTGATCTGTGCGTGGAGGAGGCTCTAAAGAGCCCAACAAAAAAGCAACAGCTGAAAGACCTGACAGACCTAAGCAGAGATTTTAGCTGCTACCCACTGCAAGGGAGACAGAGTTTGGAGTTTAAGTCTAACCATGTTTCAGAGCCTGCTAAAGCAAAAAATCAATAATCTCCAGAGGAAGAAAACAGAATTCAGAGCCTCTGCAATATATAATTCACAATGTTCAACATACAATTAAAGAATAATAAACATGAGAAGAAAGAGAAAAATGTGACCCACAGTCAAGAAAAAAGGAATCAATGGAAACCAATCCAAAGTCTGAAACCACCTATATTAAAATAATGTAAGGCTATAAGGCAAGAACTGTGGTAAAAGTCTGATTTCTATAGAAGTACAGACATGGCTAAAAGGTTAAACAGCCATTGTTTCCTAACTTCCTTTCCTGTAACTGTTTACTGCTGTAACTGCTTAGTGCTTAAGTGTCATGTATCCTTGACAGGTGCAAGATTTGTGACTTCCCCAATCACCTCTATAGATAACATCACTATCTAAAACCTAAGACTGGTCTTTGAGATACCTTCCAGACTCTGCATTTAGGTGGACCAATTGACATCAATCAGATCAGAGGCCATGTGTGG